TATCAAATTTGAATAACATAATCCTCCAACCGAACATTAATTACAATGAAGAAAACGTAAGTATTACAAGCAAACTGAGAGAGTAGAGATGGGAAGCCCTCTTAGACCCATCCTAATATCTATATGCATTATTATGAATCAAAATTATTTGAAACTTTAAACTTCCTGGTATGGTTCCGATTCCTCGACATTTTGGTGACATGTAACACATCCAACTTCAGTACTACGGTTTACTCCTTTCTTTCCACCATTTAGCTATAAAATTGCACGTATTTTATAGAAATTTAACTTTCGCGTAGTTTATTCTCCTATCAATAAGATTCCGAGGCCTATACTTCAGGACCTTATCAGGAACTGAGTAGATTCATCTTGTTATCTCGCTCAGAAAACACATTTTCTTAAAAGAAAACCTATGCACTCCTTTTATTCACAATATTTACAAAAGGAAATGTTTCCAAACTTCCCCGACTCCTTGCCAACTGTGCACCCTTTTTTGGCGAAATTTTGTTATCATTAGTTTACAGTAGTCGAGACGGTTCATGTTTTGTGCCATTTCATTCTTTCAAGCGTTGTGTAATGGTAACTCGAACACTGTGAAATCTTAGTCCAGAAAAAATTTCACAATTTTGCAGAATTTATCTGAAAATGAACCCGATGTTTGACAACATAGTATTGATGAAGATATTGATTACGAGCCTACTTAGAACTTTGAGGAAAAAATACTTCTAGCGATTCTGAATAAAGCACGATTGAGGAATTCTTAGGCCAAAGTATTAAACCCAGCGGAATTTCAGCAGCAAATATTTCGTTATCAGTAACTGCGGCGTCCATATCCACTGAAACGGGCAAGAGTTTATGTATTGTTATCTTTTTTTAGACATTTTCTGTAGTACTTGAAATTTTTTAAAACACAATGAATCATTTATTGTCATATATATATATATATACTATTTTTTTACTTTAAGTTCCACTAATCTAGAAGGTAGAAGGTCAGAGAAGAAATACGATTCATCTAACTTAGAATACGCACGAAGAGAATGTCTTTTCCAAAATCATGAGGAAGGATCTATATATGTCTCAAAAGTTGTAGCCTTCTGGACAGTGACATCTGCTTCACATACTATACTGGGAAATATGGAACCCCAAATGTGCTAAAAGAAATATCGGGACCAACATCACAATAACATATTTGGAATAAATTTATAAAGAACCTTGCTAATTCCTATAAGCCAGGAGAAAATCTAGTTGTGGAGGATCAGTTATTTCGATTCAGAGCCAGGTGTAAGTTTATGCAGTATATGCCGAATAAACCAGATAAATTCGGTATCAAATTTTGGATGCTAGTCGATGTAGACTCGAAGTTTACGGGCAATACTTTTCCATATCTTGCAAAAGATACATCAAGACGTAAAGCTGAAGTCTTCTCCGAAATATAATAATGCCTCTTCTAAGCCCTCATCTGAATTTAGGTAGAAATTTAACCATGGGCAATTATTTTTCCTCGCTATCATTAGCTAAAAGACTTAAAATGAAAAACAAAAACGTTGTTTCCACAATAAGAAGACATCGAAAAGAAATTCTGCATGAAGTAAGGAAATGAAGACCCCTGCTATTTGAAACAGTTTTGCTAAATGGGAAACTACACTGACAAACTATCAGGTTTAAAGAAATCAAAATGTTATTGTTTGACTTCTAAATTAAATCAAAATGTCCTACTAGTAAGTACCTTACATCCGAAAATAAAGGTAGGTTCATAAAATAAGAAGAAACTTCCAGAAACAATAGTGGCTCTACAACAAAACCAAATGTAGAAATGATATCTTTGACCAGATGGCACATAAATACTCTCTTCGGGCTGGTTCATGTAGATGGCCTGTATATATGTTTTTATAATATTTTGGATTAAGAAGGAACAAATGCCTATGTTATACATCAAAAATTGAGTGATAAAAAATATTACAAGGCAAGCTTCTTATTTCAATTAGTAGAGACGCTAAGAGAGCTTCATTTGAACAGAAATCAAAGCACAAGATTGCCGCCAGAAAATTTCCAACTCTAGCAATAGACTCTTGAAGAAATGACGTCAGTGCCAGATTGGACTTTGTAACACCAACAAAACAAGTGATATATGCAAAAAATGTTCATACTATGTGCGCGGAAAATGCACTTCAAGAATGAAAAAGTTGAATCGGTAAAAATTTTGAAAAGCTATAAAATGTGTTTTATTAAGGGTAAGTGGAAATGTATAAAAAAGACATATTTTTTATTAAAAATCTTTTGTTCTTTAAACACGTACTCAAACAGCTATAATTGAGAGTAACTAAAAGTTTGCCTATTAATACATACATTTAATTCACTGAGCAATCGATTTGACTGTCATTGGCGCTTCTGGGTAGGAAGAAAGTTTTCGTTTCTAGTGAAAGAAATGATGGATTATTTTAAGCTTTTTTATTTTGATACTTCTGGAACCCTAACACGTAGTTAGTTACTACCTATAAGAAGACAGGTAATTTATTATACCAAAATATTTGAAATCTGATTTCTGAAATAACCACAAATTTGTTAAAGAACTTTAATTTTATTCAAAATTTTACCAAAATAAAGTTAAATTTAAAAGCAATTTGTTTCCCTTTCCTGAAAGAATACTACTCAACCCGACACAGTCAACCTATTCAGATTTCAAATAAAAGTCTTCTGCAAATTAATTTTTATTATGTGCTTTCATTTATGTCCAATTTCATGTCCGTGTGTCTTATTATTTTTTTATTATTATTATTGTTTTAAGTTTCAGGTAATAGCTTTTCGTAACTGTACGCAAGTGTTTATTGTGTTAGCTTACTTCGTTTTATAAAAAAGGACTATTATTTTAAGTGCATTCTATTAATGACTAAGTAGTTTTGTCTCTGATTTAAAACTTACTTTATTTAAAATTGAATTTGTTTCTGATTATATTATGTCACAGTATTATCCGTTTATGTTTATTTATTTTATAAACAACGAAAAACTTTTGCTATATGTTTTAAAAATAAGTAATACAGTATAAAACAAAAATTTCCGAAAAAACAGAAGGAATTCTTTCTCTTCAGAGAATAGAAAATGTTCATATCAAAATAAAGATAATTGGTTTTATTACGCAATTTGTTTCCAACGCTGTAACTTGTTTTCAGTGAAAGGTAAACGCCCTACAATAACCAGAAACCTCTACTCCCTAAAACTTAAGCAATTGCTAGACGAAGAATAAAATATAATACTAGTAGAAATAATAATGAATAACTACTAGAAATAGCAAGGGATTCAAGACTTACCCAGCCTTGACGTCTAGAGAGAGTTAAAATTAATCTAACTAGACATTAATTTTTATGGGTTAACGTCTGCGAAGTTTCTTTAATTAACTTTACCTATCAATTGCGGAGAACTGCTTATTAACATTTCTTACTTATTCGCTTTAGAATGAAATGCTTTATTGTAGTCATTAAATTTATGCATTGTACGTAAATAACAGAAATCTTCTAAGGAGCAGAATGATAAGGAGAGGTTTTAAAAGTTTGCAGATTATAAATATTAATATTTTCTGGTCTAACAAGAGCTGTAAATTGTGGTTTTCATCATATTTAGGTTGATTACTACGACATGGACTTTTTCTCTTTTGAAAACTTAAGTGATTCTAAATTTTTTACGCTAGATTACGTTTTGATGCGTATGACACTATAATCACTGTGATGTAAGTTGGGCACATGGCAGTGTTCGTTGCCTTTGCCATAAGCAAAGTGATCTTGATAACTTCTCTGTCTCTTAGGTTACTAACACAATTGATTCGCCGGTTTATACAAAAGGATCCATGTTTTACGTCAGAATCGCTCATGATATGCTTTAAAACCGTCAATATTGATAGTGGAAGCTACATATTTTTCTAATCTAGGAAGAACGTCGATTATTTAAAGACATCCCTTTTATACAAAATGGAATAGTGCTTCCTTCTTAATGAGCCATAATAGACTTTATCGCGTTAACTCTTATTCTTGAAGATAAATGAAAGCAGACAGGATATCTATCTTTAGATCAGTAGACTGATCCTTCTTCACTTCCAGATGGAAAGGAGTATCAACTCAAATATCTGCTTTTCTGAAGCAAAGGTTGCATGTTGTTATAATGAATGTAATTCTTCTGGTCTGCTACGAAAAACTGCTCCTGGCTCGCAGACGAATTATACAGTCATACTTCGCCATTATTTTGCCAACACCTTTATGTAGCTCCGTCATTGTTCGCGAAAAGGGGACACTTAACAACAGTATTCTGGCATAAAAGTGCATGGACCTTTATTAAGATCAAATGTTAGCAAGAAAAATACTACTTTCGTAAAGGAACCATTGCAGGAATGCCAAAATCCTCCAAGCAAATACATGTTTCTAAAGGAAATGAAAATCCCACTAGCATAGTGGTGCTCTTGCAGAGTTGTAAAATAACCCTCCTCACAACTCTTGCGGAAGCTTTCTCTGACGGTGTCCTGCCCTTTCTGCTCTGCAAAATGTTGCCGATATGTTCATGAACACGATTTTTCAATTTATAAAAACACAGCTTTATAAACGCGCTTTTAACTTTGTGCCGGACAACTTTGTTTCTGGAGAGATGGCAAAAGGGCTGAAGGACTTACAGGGTGATCAGCGAATAAGCCCTGATTTCAAAATTAAATATCTCTACAACTTAAACTCTTAAAATGCAGAATATATATTTCATTTATTTATATTATTTAATATTACATTTTGGTTTAAATTTAAAAGAACTTTTTTAACAATTTTGTATTTTAATTTTAAATTAAGCTTCACATCCAATTTTATGGTCAGCAATTAATTCAGACTTTAATGTACTGAGTGTGATGTTATTTATATGGTGCATATTGAAGTACAGATTAAGCTGATAACACTTATCCACAATAAAAATACGTTTTTTTAAATGTAATTTTCTTCGAAGAAAGAAAATTATATGTAAGTATCCATTCTTACCTCAGGAGGATCTTGGACATCTCCAAGTGAAGGTGTTAGCTCACTCTTCATATCAATTTCTGACATATCTTTGAAAAATACACAATAAAGAATTAAGGTTAATTTTCTGAGTGAACGTTAATTATTAGAAACTAAAACATTAAATTTTATTTTCTGTGTTTTTGTATGAAAAATTTTATTTAACCTTTCGGCATATATGGAATAAGCATGCCCCCATGACCTTCATATAAAAATGCATGTCTGCAACTTATTTGCATACACAATGATGCAGCATGGTATGTAGTGAATCCAATAGGCCTTACTGTAAATGCTTATATGTCACTCAGTTAAAAATCAATATGTGTACATGTGACTCAGCTAAAGAAATTCGATTGTGCCCCACATTAGTATTGCTTCTCAGAAGTTAAAATAATCTTGATTTCAAGAAGTGATAAAATCCATGTCTGAATCCTGACTCAAAATTATTGCAAATATGTTACGAAATAAATCATAAATAATTATTCGGCTTAAATCAAGCCCATAAACCGCCTCTGCGTAAGACTTTATTATGGCTTAGGTTTTGCAAAATTGTGCAATGCTTTTATGCGCACATATGGACTTCAGACATTATCATACCAAACATTCATAGTGATTCAAATAGTATATTTCTCAGTTATATTTTTATACCGCTCCACAGTCTACAGTTCAGCATTATGGCAATTATACCAAATATTAGAAGTACTGAGGCTTAGAAGGATCATTTGCATCTGTTATAAATGTTCAAAATTTCCAAGAAAATATCTGCAAAACTTAGCAAATGAAAATTTCTTGTGCTGAATTTCTTAACAACAATGCCAATTTTTTTGATATCCCTTGTATCTTTTTTATCTTTATAACATACGCATGAAAATTAGAACTTTATAAAGTTTGCAAAAAATTATGCTTGAAAGTCTGTTAAATATTAGGTGTGTTGGTAAAAACTATTATTAATGACTGATCATAATTTTGCAATTTGTTATAATGCCTTGCATCACTAATTGCATGATTCAATGGCTTAAAACAAAGCCTTAAATAAATTCTTATCTCCAGACGTCAAAATGTTAGACTGATAAGTAAAACTACAATAGTTGATTTCACTGGGCATACCTACTGTAGCAGAAAATATCTTATCTTGAAACTAAAACTGAAATGTAAATAAGATTATCTGATTTACTAAAATTGAATTTGTCATTTGGAAAGATATGCAATGTCATTTTCCTTGTGAAGACCATATGTATACAACGGACTTAATAAAAATATGAAACTTGTGGTATATACATGATACATGAAAGTTAAGTTATTGACATAAGCTTCAGTTGAAAGGAACTTACCATCCGCTGACATTGGGTAACATATTTCTTCTGGACGCCCATGGTGAATACGAGAATATAAGATCCGTATTGCACAGTCTTCAGCTACCATGGCTGGAGGAAGGGTGAAAATAAATCCCATCATGGCCATGCCTTGCCTTCGCAAGGCCCTATGAATGTTCGCCCAAAGACATAAAGCCACTTGGTAGTCTTCAGATTCTACATCTTTTATACCATATTCCATATTTAAATTTTTCTCGTTCAAATATAGCTTCGCATCCTGAAACGAAATAAACTCATTAACTGCTAAGTATTTTAGAACTTTTTGATTTAACGAAATAAAATAAAACCCAGTATTCTTCTTTCTAGATCTGATTAAATAAATGCAGCTACAATATTCATGGATAGTTTCTTAAAGTAGTACAAATAGCTAACATCCTCCTACAGGTGACTTCAACGCCCGTAATACAAACTGGGAATATGCTAACACAGATCCCAAGGGTCATAACCTTGCAGACTTTCTCGCTGCAAATAACTTAATTCTAATCAATACAGCAGATGCCCTTCCAACGTTTCATACGTTTGCCACATCACCCGCAGCCACACTTATACAAAATTGGACGGTGGCCGAAGAAACTAGCTTATTGGACCATAATTACATCACCTACAAAATCGATAGAACAGGAAGAAAGATTATATCATTTACAAGAATAATAAAATTAGGACTTTTCACATTCCACAGACGCCTAAATAATATCAGATCTACAGCAAATATAGAGCATTTTATGGATGATCTTATGACTTCTCTACATGAAGGATGTGAAGAAGACCTCCCTGTAAGAACTAATAAACAAATTAATAAGCTGCATCGGTGAGCTACGCATACAACAGAAAAAATGCCGCATGCTGGGCGGATGATTGAAACAAGAAAGTATGAATAATATTGAGTCTAACACTCTCATCATTTTTCAGAAAGAAACGGTTTAATACAAACGGATGATTGTCGAAGCAAAAATTAATTAAAGGGAAAACTTTTATACAGATAATACCGTTACATATGGTATTTACCACACGATTGTAATGGATAAGCTCTACAAACTTTAGTATTATTTTAAATAGGCGACTTGTGTGAGGGGGTCCTGTGGTCTCCTACGCTTCCCCATATCATTTTGGGGTGCTCTAGACAAGGGGGACGCAATGCTATACCAATTACCCGCTATGCCAGAGGGGTAGTGCTCGCGTCCTCCGTCACTTGTCCTCTTTCATGGTCTGATGATTACATAAGGTTTGAGAAAAGAACTACATTATTTTTATGCTTTATGAGATTGTATCATTATTATAAGTGCAATATTTTAACTATAGTTGCTGGTTACACACTAAATACATAAATACATATACAGGGTGATTCTAAATTGTTTTTACAAATTAAGAGGGTTGATAGTACTCATCCGGATGAGCAATAATTACCATAGAATATAGAGTCACATTCCACTCTGAGAGGCAGAAAAGAAGAATATTAGAATTCCAACCTGAACTTACAACAGTGTTGGGAGAGCAAATAAATGAGACAAAAGTAAGTACAGCGCAACTTCCGGGCTACGTATTGCAAGCAAGCGCTTTCGAGACGAATAAGTGGCATAGTGCTTGAAACTAAAAGCAATGTATTCAAGTAGCCAAGGAAATGTTTTCTCAAAGCGAGTCCTTTTTAAAATGAATTATTAGAGGTGATGACACGTAGATCTACACTTTTAATATAACACATCAATCAAATAAGTAGAGCCCAAAAACTGAAGCAAAGTAGCAATTTCATACTTTCATCTAGTTTATACTTAGTAAAACATGAAGATATTTTTAAATGTGTTCGTAAATTGTTTCGTCTTATAAATCATGAATGCCTACTAACTGACCCAATTGTTAAAAATACATATTGTTACGAAATGTACAGGCGCGGTAAGATAGCTTCCCCGCAAAGCAGTTTTAGGGTGCCATAAAAGGGCAAAGGAGGGCAGGGTTGCCACTTTTGGTGACATTTGGCGACAAAATTGGCGATATACCATGAATGGTTGGAGAACCTTCTGGAACGAATTCTTACCGGTTTAGCCCAGAATGTTCCCGAACAAAAGCCGAAAGCTATATAAACCCTGCTGGTCCGCAGTCGGTGAGTGCGTGTCTCTCATCGAGAGTGAGTGTGTCTCGTCTAACGAGTCAGTCCCTGCGGAGTCGATCGAGTTGATAGCCGGGCAGCGAGTGTCGAGTGGGTAGTCGAGTCCACCGAAGGAGTCTGTTAGTGTATCGCGGTTAGTGCATCATCGAGAGAGCGCGTTGAGCTCCGGGAAAGACTGAACCGAAGAGTCAGGTGCTGTGCTCGTTTGTCGTCGAGTGCATCGCGAGTTGTAGCGTGGAGAGTATCGAGAGTGAGTGCCTCGTCGAGAGGGCGAGTTAATTAGTATCGAGTGGTGTCAGAAGGAAGAAAGTAACTTGACAACTGGGATCAGAAAAGAAAAAACGCAACAACTGGTGTCAGGAGGGAGGTAACGCAACAATATTATTCACTGAACTTGTATGAAGTAATTTGCAGAAAATTATCTGAATTATGTCAAGATAACTTATGGATTTTGCACCGCGTAAAGTACCTGCGCGCAATGTTCTTGCTTTTCGTGAATATTTGGCCAAATATTCAACAAATAAGCTTCGTAAGTCCCATATGCATCTCATATAAGACTGTGACACTACAAATTGAGCAGTTGCTTTTGAGTAGACCAGGAGTCAGAGACGATACAGGCAGCAAATGTCACAAATCTTAAAAACTTCTTTTGGCATGCGTACATTTGAAGGGAAAGTCATAAATACTGACTAATAAATAGAAATCTTGCATTTTATGGGCTTATTGCGGAGGCTTTTGGATAAAGTGTTTTAAAAGATTCTCAACAATTCAAATATTATTTTCAATGCTGAAAGGTAGTGCAAATATAGAAATTTTGCCCTGTTCCGTCGTTATACTATGATTTGAAGAAAAAATCTTTAATAAATGGCTTAGCGTTGTAGATACATTATGTTATGTTGAAGCAGTAGATGTGAAAAATGAGCAATGCCCTCGCCTGCACTCGAACACGCACCTCTAGAATATGCGCCGAGCGTGCTGATCACTACACCACGAAGGCATGCTAAGAAAGCGGGAGAAATACCTTATATAGCGTTATACAAAAACAAAACATATTGAATTTTGAGAAAAGTCGCTGGGATAGATTTCGAGTACTAATGCTTAAAAATTTCAAGATTTCGGCTCTGTACATATGAATCAAATATTTATTTCGAGATTTAACCTAGACAAACAAACGAGGAAGCAAAACAAATGGGGAAAAAAGAAGAAAAATAGAAACACCGACCTGAATAAAATCGTATAAAAAGCAATTCTTCTCATTGTTATATGCAATTACAATCCATTAAATGCAGGCTTAGCGTAAATTTTAGTAACAATTTTCTAATAAATTTTAACAAAAATAATTTGAACACTAGTCTGCAGAAAATTAACTTGCGTGTGATATATTCTCATTTGTATAATTTTAATTAGCATTTTAACTGCTCACCTTCAAAAGCATAAAAGACACGAAATCCAATTTCTCGTCAATAGCGGTGACTATATTCTTTATACTCTGAAAGTAAAATAATTTATTATATTTCATTTCTGAATAATCGCGAATTATTTCTGTCATTTTTCTGTGGAGTTTAGTACTATAGCATCACATAAGCCATACAATTACACTGCATGTGACTTATTTTTATGCATGTATTTTAATGAAGTAAATGTACTATACTTTTATAAGTTGTATAGGATAACTTCTATTTCAAGTTATTTTCTGTGCAATTCGGCATATTACTTGAGTCTAAATAGAAAGTCATTATTTCAAAACAAATGTCGCAAAATTAAGTTTAAAACTCGCGATAAAAATTATTTTAAAGGAACTGTCGTTTGATACTTAAGCGTGCATTTTTCCTGCAAGTTATAGGAAACCAAACATTTAAAGTACAAAGTGATTACACATGCGAAGTTAATTACTCATGTTGCGATTACTCATGTTAGTGCAAATCTATCTTAATGTAACCCTATAATAATACCTTTGCTATTCGGGAAGAATAGACAGTTTTATCAAAAAATGAAATTGTCAAAAATTAGCTGTTCGTTTTCAGATGGATGGCTTCGTAACTTTAAAATAAGGCATGGCATCGGTAAATCTTGTAATAGGAAAGACGAATGTGTGATGCCGTGAAAACAGTCAGCTGATCAAGATCAAAGGGATTATCTTTTTCTCTCATTCTTCCCATCCTCAACATGAAGACATGGAGGAATTTTACCCTATCTGCAATAAAAAGCGAATATTCATTGTTTAGCACTGATCGTGTCGCAATTTACTATTATTACGTTTTTGTAAAGCAAAGACAAGATTTCTGCTCCGAAGTTTGCATTTCTTTTAAAATACTGTACATGCGTGTTATATGTTCATTAATGTTTAACAATATTTTTACCTGGAACACCGTGAACAGTGAATTTTTTGATTTATTTTGTTGCTCGTTGTTTCAAAAAGTTTGAGTTATATTTTAAGTGATCCACCTTCGTTTAAAATTATTTATACAACTTTCTCAAAATTTTTACGCAACTCAAACAGTCTAAAAATATTTATACAATAAAAGCATATATCTTTTATATGCATTTAAATGCATACAAAAGATATATGCTTTTATTAACTTATTTAGTCTGCCTAAAAACTTTTACTATAGCTCACTTTATCAGAGATAAATTCAAAAATGTACTTTCCGTATTGAATTAGTGACCCCATAAAACTTTTATATTATTTTTCTAGCACTTAAACTTTCTAATTTTGCGTAGTATTTTATGTTAATTAACCAATTATTATTATTTAAAACCTTTACGTTAACTTCTTTTCATGGTCCTCATCAGGAAGCAAATTAAATGTTACATTCCATCGCTCAGCTATACCTACGAATATGCCTGCTGTAGCCATTTCGTTAGCCAACTTTAATAGCACATTAACATTTCGCTAGCTACTAAAATACTGAGCTAGCTTAATCATTTTATACGATTTCGTACGATATTTTAAGATTTCAGTTTTGTTATTTTGAAATACCCGCAAGTGTTGGAATTATTTGTACGCACAAACTGCGCTTTCGGTTCATTTCAAGATTTAATTAATAGATTATTTAAACATTCGTATAGGACTTTTTCATGACACTTTAGACGGAGCGATAAATCACTTG